TCCGAAGATAGTCGAAACTTATCGTTTTTAACTTAGTGTCGACCATTGTAACGCTCTTGAAACTTTTTATAGATACATGCACACGCATACACGTACGATTTTATGTAACACATTTTATAAATCTTGATACATGTAAAATACGGTAGCAGATCATCTGACATCATTGAAAAAAGAAAACATAAAATGGAAAAATTTAGCGATATGTACACGGACTTGGGAATATAGTGATGCCCAAGCTTTTACGGAAGCGATTGTTAATACGTATTTACAATATATATTTTCGATACTTAATAAAGCTTTCGCGCTTACAATGGAATCGAAATAAATAGTGTTTTCATTAACATTTTGTTACAATAATAAATACTCTCTTTCTCTCTTATTCGAATCTGGGTATAAACACGACGCGTCCGTCTTACCGGTACAACTACATATTACTGATTTTATTATATATATTTTTTTCCATTTATATCGCTAAAAAAAATGATGTTTGACATATACATTCGTAATGTTGCTGTTTAACGGTACAGTTAAGCCAAAGTTACAAGTAAATGAAAATAGTTAACGACGAATGGGTATAACTGGTAAACTTTTTGTGTTGAAATATTTTTTTGTGCAGATATAGTATACATTATTTTGTCAGTATAGAACATAACTTTGCATAACTTCTTTTTTTCTTTTTTCATGTAATTGAATCCGCACGGAAGATATCAACACATTCAATTATACGGATGCATGTTTTCGAGGGGAAAAAAAAAAAAGAGAGAAACTATTTCCAACAATTTTTTTTCCTTTTCTTCGATCGTAAACGAAACTGGGGGTAAACTATTGTAACAGTAGCAATAACGATTTTTGTCCTGTTTTTACGTGAGCTTGTAATTAACGTTAAAAGAAAACTGATAAAATGCGTTTAATAAGAAGAGAACTGTCGAATGATATTTCAATTCAGATTAACGTTAATCAACTTTACCTTACGAATCTATTGTAATGTTTACCCAGTTCCGTTTACGTATCTCTTTTATGAAACTGTTTTTATATTTTTCAATTTACCCTTCGATTTACAATTAACTTCGAATTTCGGATTAGATGGTTCAGTAATAACAATCGCGGAAAAAAAGATCGAATTATTGTCGATGAAAAAACAATTCTCATGGATTTTTCTCTTTTACAGGAGTCCGCTCGTGGAAGTTTGATGACGGGTGTGGTAGAATTTAAACAGAGCAATCAATTTTCCTCCGGTACAAATGCGTTCGTGTTTCTCGAGCGAAACAGAAACGAAAAGAAGTAAAGAAGTAAAAGAAAAGAAAAGAAAAGAAAAAAAAAGACGAAATACATAGAGAGAAGTGTATGCGGAGGAGGCGAAAATGAGGAGAGGGCATGAATGAACGAATGAATGGGAGAGAATGGGAAGGCGTCTTTTTTCGAACGCAAGTGGTAATTTGAAATAAAATGTTGAAGCATTGTCGCATATCTTAGGAATATTTTTTTTAATTTCTCCAACCATTCCTTACGACGAATCGATATTGTTCCCTCGCAGATAACATTGTTATCGAATACATGAAAGGTCTGAGAAATATGTTTATGGATGTCTTGTTTGTCTGCATGTTAATTAAATTGTTGGGATGTCAAAAAGTCACACTCGATGGTTTGCAAGTTGTTGTTACTTCACACATGACAGTACCGATGTTCTGAGAAATCCGTGGTCTTTTTCTTTGTACTGTAATACAAATTTTTCGAAGGATAACAGGGTTTCTGTAGGTTTGAAAAAAATTTGCCATATATTTAACACACTTTATAGAGATACAGATCACAAAGTTGTCTAATTATTGATAATTTGATGAACAATGGAATATTATATAGAAGGTGCACGACTAAAATGTTTAAACGCGATAGAAAGATCTTGTCCGTGTATCGTTTCATTCCTTCATTTATTTTTACCTGTACAAAAGTATTTCACTCGTTGTATTTATTGTAAGATTAACGTAAAGGAATTTCGTTAACTTTTGTTTCTCAAAGTGACGAAAGAATGCAACTTTTTTATTAGATCGTGTTTAAAATTTTCGTATATTAGAGCGTAATAATTTACTCAGATATGTGTAAGTGAAATAGTAAGATTTTGCATTTTTGGCACGCCAAGTTCTCTTTTGTAACATACTTTTCAAAGAAAATTAAAATAAACCGTCGCAATATGTTAGTGTACAATAAATAAATACATGTTTCCATGTCTGTTCTTTTTTTTCTCTCTCTAACAAAACGACCTTCTCTCTTTCTCTCCATCATTTGTAAAATTAACGATAATTAGTCCACTTTGTAATCCATATTTCCCCTTTTGAAAACCTTCAACACTTGGGAATGTAACACTTCACATGCACAAAGTAACAATGTTCCATCTCCAAAAGGTTCATATCACCCTTGAAAACTTCAGGTTTATCACAAAAAACGTAGGAAAAGAATATCTCTACTCCCCAACAACGTTCAATTCACTGCAAACAAAGAAATCCAAGGAAAATTGATATCTCTTAGATCTTGATTTGCTTAGTAACATCTTCCAACAGCAGAGAAAAATATGTTGTATCTAATATTCCTTATTGGTAATACTATTAATCGGCCTGTTGACAAAACTAATGATCTAAGAACCGTTCTTATTCGTTCAGATCCTCTGAGATTGCCTTCTTGGACTTATCTAGGAACGTGGTGGTCGAGTTTAAGCCTATTACGGTTGTGGTGGTCGTCTCGCTTACGGATGAGTCCCTTTTTCTGTACGGATTCGCTGGAGGGCAATACAATCTGTAAATCACACCATTAACACACCCAAAAAAAAAAGAAGACCAATTAACAATCATAAATCGTCTACTATTTAAACGTCCTAATTTTACACAATTAACAACACGTTTCATCGTACAATTTCGTTTCTTTTCCCCGCAGAATTTCTTCAAATCCTGAGCAACGTTTAATTCGAAATCAAGCAAATCCAACGAAAGAAATCATTCATTACAGAGTAAGGGAATAGAATACCTTATACTCTCTGTTCTCGAACGGGGAGACCAATTGTTATACCTTCTTTCTGTGTCCAGATCACGAGCTGTGGTCCATCGTACAATGTGATGTTTCACCGTGTTTTGTACTTCGGTGTTCAGGAAACAATAAAACAACGCAATGAACAGGCCCTGAAAAACGTAAAATAGAGTTGTACAGTGTTGCTCCAAGAAAATAGCGATCATTCGGAAAATGTAAAAATGTGCGACGATTGTAACGTGAGAGAGAAATTTTAGTCTCCATAAGTGTTGGACTAGTTTGTAAATTTTTAGCGGTACTCTAGCCTCGTATGTTCTCTCTGTACGTAGAAACCAGGGATATAACGTTCTTCTGGAAATATTTCACCTATAAAGGCGTCGAACTTTGACGCTAAAACGCCGATAAAATAGCGAAACGAACCAAAAGGTTCTATAAAAGAGACGTTATACAACTTCATCGTATGCCTACCAAATTACAACCTCTTCTACGTTCCTTTTGACGAATGTCTCGACGAAAGAGCGTATCAATATGTAGCTTCGAAGTTTGCTATTCGAGAAATAATAAAGTAACCCGACCAAAAGTAGGCACACGATGCGTTAGAAACGTTAGCTCGGTAATTTTATCGCGTGTTCTGTCAGGCATTCTTATATTTTTCATGGATAAAACTTTTGTGAAATTCCACATCGTCCAATATCGCTGAATGTACTTCCGATCCTTATTCCAACAACCTCGACCTGTTTGCAACCCTTTTGTAACTCGAAACATTTCACGTTGTTTCAGGGAAGATTCGTCGTACTAGAGCAAAAACTCGAAGAGAATCGTTTCCACGAGGGAGAAAAGGATAACGAAGAGTGACAGAATCAAATTCTCCGGATGTCCAAGGTTTTAATCGTCTAATCTTAACATACGAAATTCCTCGTCTTTCTTTTCAATTCGAAGAGCTTCACCGTGTTGCAAAAGTCTCTAAACAGTTCTTCGTATATACCAGTGTGTATCGTTTCTCTCTTTCAAACCACGGAGTTCTTTATTTAGAGAAGAAGAAAGTATTTGAATATACAGAAGATACGAGAGAAAAGGGGGATTATTCAGCGTTTGCTCGAAGGGAGAGACCGGGAGAGACAGGGTGTGTTCGTGCTTCGTCAAAGGAGAAAGTAACAGTTTCTCTCGAACTTCTTGCCTCTGACAAAGTAAGTTCGTTTTTGTAACGAGATACTTCTTCAACGTTGCATTACCTGCGAAGAAAGTAACACAGCACGAGTGTAGGAGAATGCATTAGCAACCTGACCCTCCGTGGGTCCCATCAGCACCAGCACGTAAGTCACCCCGAGGAGAGGTATCAGTACCAGCAACGCCTTGCTCGCCTTTCGATATTGCTGCGTCTCTGCGTTTGTAGAGGACCAAAGCTTCGTTATCAGCACCTACGATGGAAAAATCGTTACACTGTGGTCAGAGAAACACTTATTTTTTTTTCCTTTTCGATTCGAGAGTGAAACGAATTCGTGTTACCCTCGTGTGTTCAACCATCTCTATTTAGTTGTATTTGTAGGCTTGATTGTTTTATTTGTCTAATTTTCCCGTTTTGCATTTTCTTTTTACACGCTAGTCTCTTATGTGTTTACAGATAATCTCGTTGGAGGTGTCTTAATTATCGTGGACATCTTAAATTATTTCTACCGGCTATCGAAATTAAGGAAAAAGTTACTAATAGAAGTTTATCTGACGATGGAAAAAAGAAAGTCCCTTCGACGTCATATTTTACTGTTTAAAGTTCGTTAAAGTAGATGTTAATGTGCATACAGGTGTCGAGGAACTTTGAACGACCTTCAAGATGACAGAAAAAAGAAATTCGGATAAAGAAAGGAACCCAAAGTCAGTTTGATGGTCGTTCCAAGGTTGTCGACACCTTTTCGCAGATTAATATCTACTTTTACGACCTTAAAGTGACTTTGAACAGTAAAATAGCAATGTCGATGATCTTGGAACGATCTTCAAAATGACTTTGTCTTTCCTTTTTATCATCATCATCAGATGCATGTAAACTCCTCTTGGTCATTTTTCCCCACTTTCAGCAGCAGCTGAAATAATTCAGTACAAAGTAAATGTACATAATGCAGTACAAAAGGTTTCACGTTACCAAATTGTTCTTTTTCTGTTACACCTATAGTTTGTAGTCTTTTTGTTGTATCAAAAAATACGAGAAATAAATTATTTCTCGTCTTTGCCAGTTTATTTCTGTTTCGTTTGACGGCCTTGCGATTAGCAGTAGATCGTTTGTCATACGGGGAATGTTGTTTAAAAAAAAGTTGTGCAATATACTAACTACGTCCCATATCTACACACGTAATTGTACATTCTGTATATTTCTGTTCTCTGTACGGAAGAAAAGAACGCATTCAGTCACCTGCTCTGTTAACCAACTATCCTCTGTCGACCATTGTATTTCTTTCGCGAACACCTGTGTGTCGAATAAACCGTATTGTATTAAATTCTCGTTAAACTGAAAGTCTCTCTGAGTTGTTAATTTCATGTAACTTATCCATCAGCAGTTAGTATGCCCGAAACGATGAAATTGCTTTCACTTGCGGAAGTTTCTGTTAAAATGATTTTATTTCGAGCGAAGGAAATTTGAAGAATTTCCGACGGAAAGAAGTATCGAAGTTGTCTTTTTTATTTATGGACAATGATTTTATTCGGAGCGAGTTGTTTCGAAAAGGGAAATTCTAAGAGTTTAGGACAGATTTTTAGTTCTTTTTAAATTAATTAAAAGAAACGTAGAACTTCTTGATTTGTCCTTGATTTTGCAAGTAGTACAAATGATACAAAACAAGCTCCAGTTGATAATTAAAATCTGAGGCTTGAGAAGAAAGTATGCTAGATTTAAAAGCACGATGAATAAGTTGCTGGAAATAGCTTGTTCCATAAATATCTTAATAATCCTCAACTTTGTAATCTGTATTCTATGGTGCGTTTCTTTTTATCGTTATCTCAGTATTCGTTATAATCTTGAATAAAAAAAGAAATGGTTCAAGTAAAAATCCATTAAAAATGTTAAAGCAATCTTCATATCTCGGTATGAAAATAAAATAGCGCGAAACTAATTACGTATATTACAAGCTAAAGTGTCTTTCTCTCCTTAAGAATTTCTCTGCCAGAATTTTATTCAAGGAATAAATAACAGTTTACGACTAATTTAAATTAATAACGATAAATTAAACGAATAATCTCGTATAACAATATGAGATTACAGAAAATTATTATATACCATTTTTGCTTCTGGTAAATTATGCAACGTGGTTCACGTAAAGTTCATTTCGCGAAAACTTATAAGGAGAGAGAGATGCAATTTCGTTTGATATTTAAAAATTAAACGAAAATACGTATAAAATATAAGAAAAAAGAAACTGAATTTCCTCGTGGACTAAACAGAGAATCGATTCTATTGGTGCACTAATTACTCTTATCAGCTACTAATAATTTACCGACGATCTAAATTCATTAATTAGAATCGATCCTGCTACGCGATTAGTACTATTTCAACCGTTCGGGTATCAATAGGACTATTCGGTGCACCAAAATGGCGGTCGTGAAACACGCCTCGACAGATATACACGCTCAAAGTAATTTTCAATTATACATTATTATTTGTTACGTGCCATTTACTATTCTACGTTAGTTTCTAAGCATTACAAGATACACTTTGACATATTTTAACACGTACACCACATTTTCCAGACATTCGTACAGAAGAAATGTGAAACTGTTCATGAAAACGCTCATTGTTGATTTTTCAAGTTAGAATAATTTTCTTTTTTTAAAAGTACAATATTAGCAAAGTTCCGATTTCGTGACAACAGAAGTTACAATTGTTTTTCTTTCAAACAGTACAATATACGAAAAGGAGTAGCTTTCTTTCACCGTATCTTCGTCCTTTTCTTCCTAAATGAACGATATAATCATCCCGTATCAAGGAAAAATCTGATTTCAGAATTAGACGGCCTGTACAGGAGAAAATTCCTGTCTCAGTATGTCCGGAATAAATAGTCTCGTCCTGTGCAGCTTAATGAACTTTTCAAACCAGCTGCACAAATTTAATTTCCACTGGCTCCGTGACAACGTTAAATCAGCAAACTATACGCTCAAACGTTCATTGCGTTAGCCCTACACTCCCTCCTATTACCATTATTTGCCACCGAGAGCTGTTTCGTCGATAGAACGTCATGTATACTCACCCACATTATCATGAACAGGAAGATCACGTTTATACAGAGCACCAAAATGGCCGGGGCCTGGTAGAACCAGTCGTAAGGATGCGACACCATCCAGGGACAATGCCTGCCCAACGCGACTTCCTGTGAACATCGATGGTTAGATTTACTGCAGGGACTTGGGTCGACACTCTTCGTTAACTTTAAGAGTGAACGACGTATCTGTCTTTTTTTTTGCTTTCTTCAGAATGTGATCAATTCGTTTTAGATTAGCGCACAAACTCTTGTGAACGTTCTAAAGACGTCCAGCGGAGGCTTAAAGATGTTCAGAAGACGTCTGAACGATGTCTGGAGTTAGAAATCGAGACGTCCTTGAAATTTTGGCTTTGGAAACGTCTTGAAGACGTGATTTTTAGAATATAGAACGTCTTCAAGACGTTCAGCGAAGGCCTGAAGACGTCCAAAAGACGTCTGAGCGACGTCCAGTGTCACAGATCGAGATATTCTTGAAATGTTGGCTTTGGAAACATTTTAAAGACGTCATTTTTAGACTCGCACGTCTTCAAGGCGTTCAGATTAAAAATGAACGTAAAATAGACATCTCTAAGATGTCATGTGCTATCTGGGTTTCGACGTTATCTTATTAGCAATCAGAATAAATTTCTGTCAGCTAATTTGCCGACTTGGGTGCTGTTTTCAGCATCTCTTAAAGCGTCCATTGACGAGTCCTCCTTAACAATCAATTAGATCTGCTGGCCATACGGTACATATTTCAGGCATTATTATCTTTGCATGTTTGTTTATAATAGTGTGAAAGTATTGATATTGGTTTTTATTATAAAAACCAACTATATAGGTATTAACACTATATCGCCCTAATTTTGACAACGACTAATTATAAATACAATAAAAAATAGGTATTTAGGCAAGGCCTAAAATTGATTCTATATTGTATTCTACAATTTCTAAAATTCCTATCGTTGAATTTCTATAACTGTAATCTATCAGTGAAAATATAGAAAAATTCTGATGCTGCAAATATTAATCTTCTCTCCTCAAAGTCTGCTCACATTACTCAACAAGAATAGGCACCTCTGTCGAAAATATCGAAGCTATCCGCTCCATTCGCTATTTGTAATAATCTACCCTTCCAACGAATCCATCTCCAACGAAACTTCGACGTGAGGAAGTTAAAACGCAACCGCGGGTAAGCGCTTTCGTTCGTTCATTGTCAGCAATGCCCCCAAAAAATCCATCTAGAGAGAGAAGTTCCTCTCCTCTTTCCGTTGTCTATCGACTGTTTTCCCCGCGGCTTCTTTTGTTTTCACGTCACGTAGCTTGCCGGTGCGTTAACACGGATCGTGTCTCGAAACTCTTATCCGGTATTTCTCGATACCTACGCAACCTGTCCGCGGAAATTGAGGTATCTTCGATTTATTATTCTGTCGATTTCTCGTCCCAACTGTACTCATTTCGATTTTACGCAAGCGTGTTTGTCAGGCGATTCATTTACGAATCATTAGAAATATCACATTGTAAGGATTTTGGTTTCGCAGATTAAACGAGATTTTTGCGTATTAACCCTTTCGTTGCGACAAATTTTCGTAGGTAACGCATGTGACAGAGGGTGGATCCGTTCGGATAATAGCTGCAAAGTTTGTTGCTTCGGCTGTATCGTTTTAAAATTTGTCTTATGAAATTCAGATGGAAATGAGTGAAGAATGAAACAACTTTAGCGACAGAGCGTAACATTATTCTTTTCGTTATTTTTATAGTCCTCAAGGCAGTAGAATAAAACAATTCCAGAGAAATAAATCAGTTACTCTGGAGATATCGAGCTATGCTGTGCTCGAATTTTTTTATGGACGACTATAGTAACGAAAGGGTTAAGATGGAAAGAGACTCTGTCAAAAGACTCTAATAGCAGAATTTTCAAAGCGTCTTTAGGCGTCAACAGGAAGGGTTAACACGTTTCATCTTAGCCGCTGATTTCCAATTCATGAATTCAACGAATTTCTAACTCACTAATAAGGGACCATTCTGAAGTGATAATCAATAATCGATTCTATTCAAACTTTGGTATACAGTAGTTCTCGAAAAGATATTAGGGGATGAAAATCACTCTGAACAATTGGAGATAGTAGGTAAATATATTTATTCGAATATCTCGAAAATGATTAGAGATAGAGTAATAGTGAGAAATTTGAAAAATAAAAAATAATATATAATTTTCACCAAATATGTTTATTAAAACACATACATACGTATGGAATATTTCTTCGAGTACTACTGTATACCAAAGTTTCATCAATATCGGTTATTATCACTTCGGGATACAAGATTTCATATTACTCTATCGTTCATATTTGAAGCTTACGTTGATATTTCGCGACATTGATCAACGATGTTGTGCATTGACATGTGAGATATTCTCTTGTACCTGTTTCGGTTGGCTCATGATGCTTTGATCCAGTGACTTCGCGATAGCCCACATGGTGATAAAGAGAACCGGCATACCTGAAAGTAAATCGATACGGTTTACGGGGTGTGCATGAGGTGTTTGGCGTTGATTTTCTTATCCAGAAAGGTTAGTTTAACAGTTTATTCGAGTGTTTGGGATGTCGATAGTGGTGTAGCTTTCCCAATGATTTATGAAGTAGTGTTCAGATTATCATTCACACTATAATTCTTAATTTTTTAGTTACAGTTTAGTATGTTTGAAGGTTTTTCTTATAATTCTATATGTGCATATTAATATTAATGATATCGTATATATTTTTATTAATTTTTGCCTGTCAGATGGAAAATGGAATATTAACGATCAATTTGCAATATTGAGATTAAAGTGCAAATGTGACTGTTAATGCGATTATCAACGCATTCGCTTTGTTATTGAAAAATGAAAACACGCGGACAACGGTGTGTATATATTTTGTTTATAACTGATTAAATTTTCATTTAATTAACGTTGCCCTTTCCGGCAAATATTCCAATAAAAATCTCAATATGATTATTTGAAGAAAAATGTCATTTTAAAAGGATTTTTAGAGATTGTTCTCTGTTAAAGATAAGCATAACAGTAAGTATTATTCCGTCTCTAAAAAAGTTCTTCCTTTTTTCCGGGCTTTCATATATGCACATAATCAGCTTGCATGGAAGCTTCAGCGTTCAAATATTTTTTTGCCACGAAGCGATATTTCAAGCACAAAGCAGTCGATACTGATTTTGAGCGGTTCGAGTGGAAGCAGAAAGTTCTGATTATTAGAATTCTCCTCGCCGCGCTATGTATTTCGCAAAAAATCATGGCACAGATTGCGCGTGCATGAACGAAAATACTGTTACGGTCAGTTCGGTTTCGCGAAAAATTCCAGATATTTCAACGGATTTTTTTCTGCGCTATTTCAGTTCCTAACAATTTCATGTCGATCATTCGTCAATTTCACGTGAAATCTTCACTCTTTGCTTAGAAAAATTCATTTACAGAAACTCGTTTAGTTTTTCTGCTTAAAAGATAGTTGATAATTGAAAAGTACCAATTATAAATGGTATAAATATAAAAAAACGTTGTAAATGCACGAGCTGTAACAATAGAATTATAAATTTGATTATTATTACATTTAACAATATTAATTCGTATACGATTATGTCTAATGATAAGGCAACGAGAATATCGATTATGTCAATATTTTTATAATTTGATTTAGTAAGATTCGTAAAGTCATCCTTTATATTGGTATCTTTGTAATATATTTTATCTTTGAAAAATATCGTTTCGATAAATTTGTTAAATGTAAGTTTAATATCAACTTGTCTCGAAATTAACACAGAAATATTACTTATTCAACAAAATAGAAGTACAATTTTTCTATCGTTTGTCTGAAATTATTGTAATTTCAACAACTTACTGTCCATTAATTTTTAGCAAACGACGCCTTTAATTTTGACTATATTCTATACTAATTAAGGATTCAGGACAAGTTAACAGGTCAATTGCAATATTTCTAATTGAAACGAGATCGTTTGAAATACTCCAACAAAAATTCGAACGTGTAAAAATGATACAATGCTTTACACACTGTTTTCATAAGTGAGAATAAAAATGGTAATATAAAGTTTTACCCCAGCCTATAATGAGGCACAGCCTCAGCTTGATGTTATCACCCGTGAAAGTCTTCACGACCAGTAGGAACAGATACAAGCCTGAAACAAGTGCACATTATACATATTCGATTTAATGAACGCAAAGGAAAAAGTAATTAAAAAGAGTTTCTTCCTATATGCAAATACACAGGGTGGAATTGTAAAGATTAAATTTTATTTAAATAATTTTTCAAATAACAGCTTACATTCATTTTTTTCAATAAAATTGTAGTACTCTAAGAAAAATGTGTTTCTCCATAATTTTTCAAATTTACCTCGAGATTATTGTGCATTTTTCAAATGAAATACTGTATTTTTACTGGCAAAATAATAGATCATCAAACGCTTTCATTGTATTTCAATCGGTAGTTCGCGATTTTGAATTCTGTCTCCATTTGAGTCTAACTTCAAATTTTTGCGAATTAATAGAAAAAAATCAGAAAATCGAATTGTATTACCTTCTATGAACATCCAGAAGTAATTGGTCAGCTGGAAATAATTCAGGAGTGACAGAAAGGCGACGCAGGTCGGGACATCCGGTTGCATGGAGACCTGAAAATAATTATCCCTTCGAAACTCCATACGAACCGAGGAAAACGATGATCTATGATTATTTAAGAACGAAGAAAGTCGAGAAGAAAATCGTATTTCTACACGGTGTGTATTATTTTTATTTATAAACAGACGTGCAGTAGATAGTGTGTCGAGTTGAACAAGTTGAGAGAGTTGAACGACGTCGAGGAGATCGTTAGAATTTCTTCGAGGAAAATTAATAACAGGAGGTGTTAAGAACATCTCAAACGTGTCTGCGTGTATCAATAAGGAAATACTACGCAACAAATCATTTTGAAGTGAGTAAAGAAAATTTTCTATTGCAATGAATTGGTAATGGATTATTACTAATTTTAATACGAGCAATTTGATCACTAATAATGCATACGAAAACTATTTGTAAACTTAGAGAAACAGTCTTTTCTCGTTTAAATTTTAAAGTTCTTGTTTATCTTTTCAAAAAAGTTCAGAATAGGCAGCTTTCGTGATTTTTCCTTTAAGAAACCGTGAAATACGTTAACCTACAATTCTCAACTGATAAAAATAATAATTGCAAGAAAGTTTAATATTATAATCGATAAATCTACGTTCTCACGATGTTTATTCAAGCTTCTACTAAAACCTTGACATTATTTTGCAATAAATTATTTCCCTCGACAAGTAGCTTGCGTTAAAATAAACTTTCCTCGAGTATAAAGTGATCAAGGCTAAAAGTATCATTTTGGAATAAAATTTGACCAGTTCTCTTGTCACACGTGTACCTTAACCCTTTCGCTGCGGTAGATTTTACTACTAAAATCTTTTGTTTCGCCGTTTTAAAATTTTTAGGAAAAAAATTCCAAATTTAAATTTAAAAATGCATCTTTTCAAAAGTTAAGGTGGAAGACAAGAATCGAGGTGTGAATTAAGATGAAAGTGCGCCGAAAAGCGCAACAGCACAGTACGAGAAAATTTCCAAAGCGCCTATAAGCTTGAAAAACATAGAGCGAGAACATTTTCAATGCGCCTACAGGCGCAAACAGCAGTAAAAGGGTTAAGGGTTGCACAGGAAATAAGGTAGAAGAATAAAGGGGCGAATAGAGCAATTAAAAGTGGCTAGTCGACTGAATTTCACGCGAGGCCAATTTCAGTGCAACGATACCGCCGCGCCGGCGGCCTTTTAATTATCGAAAAACCAAATGTGCATCGACCACCGTAATTAATTTTCCTTTCCACTGGCTCGTTAGCGTGGATGCTAGAAATTTCGTGGCCAATGCCGAGCCACGTTTCCGGTCGCGTTGAAAAGTTTCCTCGAGGAGGAAGGGAAGTTTTCCGATACGTTCAGTAATACAATTAGCCCTTCCCGTTGATATATCTTTTTTTAGAATTCTTTGGTCTTGAAGATGTTCCCTTCAATTTTCCAATTTGAAGGTTTCAATCGGGTAATTTTCTTTTTGGAGTATTTACGAGGAATGTTTACTCTCAAATTTGACAATTTTTAGATATTACACCACAAACATTGATCGTCAATTCTGAACTAGTTACTTGTTAAAAAATTTTCATACGTTAATTTCAAAAACGGTCGAATTACCTCAAACGGCAGAAATATTATCAAATAAACTTCAAATGTATTTTCCGTTTAAACTATTTCCTGCGACTGGCACAAAAATCAATTTGCTTTTTCTCCGTGTTTTTTTTTTTCTTCTCCCTCCAAGGGAATATTCTAATTTCATATTCCAGCAACAAGTGGCGGCGTGTAGTTCTCGTCATTTTATAGGTCAAACGCCTTCGACCCGAAAGCAGCCATAAACTCGATTACTTGCGCCCCCTTGATTTTTTTTTTCCATTCCCTCGCAGGAGGAAAGTGACTCCACGCCAAGAGGAAAATAGAATCTGCGTCGTGTTTTTGAGGGAACAATTTATTAGTCGGGCACGCAACGTGGAAAAGGGGAAGTTGGAGAAAATTTCGGGGATATTATGTTTGCTATGAAAATACCTGCATCACGTTATTCAGAATCCACATCGAATCTGCGAGTATGTAAGTGAACATCAGGTTCGTGTGTATGTTGTTTCTAATACATCTCAGTTCCCTGAAACAAAAATTAATATCTCACTGTTAACATTAGCTAGGTATAATATTATTTAGGAATAAAATTGACACCTACAATTTATCTAGATACATTATCATTTGTGAAATAATATTTAGATGTTGTAAATAGTAACTTTTAGGATCCAATGTGACGATTTATAATTTATTTGAAATTTAACATTGTCCGTATTGTTGAATTAGACGTACGACATAAGGCGGGTTCCTGTGAATTGATATTTTTTTTTAATAATTGCCTTTCCTTTGGCCGCAAAAATGTAAGGAAAATATTGAAAATATAATGTATAGTTTATTTAAGAATTTTTTTAAGATATGATTAAACGACATTTCAAGATATATTTGATGTCTATACGAGCTGAATTTGTGGAAGATAGAATTCAAGGGAAACAGACTGTATGTATTCAGACATTACCTAAATAACCACGTATAATGGGAACATCTATCACAGTACAGCGACACGTGGTACTCGTAACATTAACGAAGTTGTTTTGACACGTAACTTTATGAATGATACTTTGGACCAAGCGTCAGAACTTCTGTTTGTAAAAATATTAACAATACATGTTAAAAATATTGACAATAAATATTAGAAATATTGACAATAAATATTAGAAATATTCACAATAAATATTAACAATACTGACAATAAATACTAAAAATATTTTTCGATATTGATATTATTGTTCGATCGCATCAGATGAAAAGTTGCACTGTGTTTATGGCTTCTCGCATGGATAACTCTGAAAATGAGCAAACATTTAACCCCACGAAAAGCTTTTTTTTCAGTTCGTATATCACATATATCGTTTGAACAGTCTGGAGAAGGTATGCTCGAAATAACAATTTTTTCCCTCACAGATGACATTTACATTCTCCAATTCTTATTTTCGTTTCGTTTCGTTTAACTCGAACGTTTCCAGTATGAGGTTGACGCAAAGGACGAAAGATACGTGATTTACTCTGTAAGCGTACTGTTATAGGCTTTATTTCCATGTAATAAACGAGAATGGGACGGATTTACATGTACAGGGGCCAATTGGGGATGCAAAAATTGGTGTTTAAAAATTCCATTTCAGTTTTTCCTACAATATGGAATAACGTATGTTAGAAATTGTACAAATATTTTCGTTAAAACTTTCGTTCGTATGAAGATGAGCCACGAGAATAACAAATCCTGCACGTATAATTTAGTCGTTATAAATATTAAAACACCTGCACAGTATCTCTATTAACTTTTTCTATTAGTTATACTAGAACTCGTTCAATGTAATTTGAAGCAAACAGAAAAAGGAAGGAAAAGGAATCAAAATTTCCTTACGATAAAATCACCGGGAAAAGTAAATCTCTATCACTTCGAATTCTCAATTTCCTATTTACATATAACGGCTCTGTAAACAGCAATTATTTCCCTATTTCCTACTGGCGGAGGATATCTTATTTATCTGTTCCACTGCGAGCGAACAATTTTCCCGCATTTTCCTTTTGCAAATTTAACAGTTGCTTTCTTGAGGACAGCACATACACACTCACTCTCACACTCACTTACTCGCTTATTCACTCACTCTCACACTCACTTACTCGCTCATTCACTCACTCTCACACTTACCTGCTGATTCACTCGCTCATTCACTCGCTTGCTCACTCACTCACTCACTCACTCGCTTGCTCACTTACACTCATTTACTCACACATTGATTCACATATTCACTCTCTCTCTCTCTCTCTCTCAGTCACTTACACACTCACTCATTCATTCTCTCACCCTCTCTTTCTCTCTCTCTCTCTCAGTCACTTACATACTCACTCACTCATTCAGTCACTTACACACTCACTCATTCATTCTCTCACCCTCTCTTTCTCTCTCTCTCTCTCTCAGTCACTTACATACTCACTCACTCATTCTCTCACCCTCTCTTTCTCTCTCTCTCTCTCTCTCTCTCTCTCTCTCTCTCCTCACCCTCTCTTTATCTCTCCCTCTCTCTTTATCTCTCCCTCTCTCTCTCTCTCTCAGTCACTTACACACTCACTCACTCATTCTCTCACCCTCTCACTCACTCTCTCTCTCTCTCACTCACTCTCTCTCTCTCTCTCTCAGTCACTCACTCACTTACTCACTCTCTCTCTCTCTTTCTCTCTCAGTCACTCACTCACTCACCCTCTTTTTTTTCCTATCTGCACTCACTCATTCTCTCACCTTCTTTTTCTTTCTCTCTCTCTCTCTCTCTTTCTCAGTTAGTCACCCCATTCATTCACTCACACTCTCACGCACACACAAAATCTCTCCCTCTCTCTTTATCTCTCCCTCTCTCTCTCTCTCTCAGTCACTTACACACTCACTCACTCATTCTCTCACCCTCTCACTCACTCTCTCTCTCTCTCACTCACTCTCTCTCTCTCTCTCTCAGTCACTCACTCACTTACTCACTCTCTCTCTCTCTCTCTCTCTCTTTCTCTCTCAGTCACTCACTCACTCACCCTCTTTTTTTTCCTATCTGCACTCACTCATTCTCTCACCCTCTTTTTCTTTCTCTTTCTCTCTCTCTCTTTCTCAGTTAGTCACCCCATTCATTCACTCACACTCTCACGCACACACAAAAGGCTCTTCTGGCTGGGTAAAATGAACATTTGCCAAACGTACAATTTATTTTCATGAAAGTCAAGCGGCGACGTAATTTCGAAATCAGATAGACACAGCAATTGCATTGTTTCACGAAAAACGTCACCGTTGTACGACACGAGGATGAGAATATAGGTGATCCCCTGTTGGATTCCGGCGTACATCAGAACAACAACGAGTTTTAAGCAGTTCGAGCATAGTTTTGTTGCTCGTGCGCGCGAGACAAATGTCGCGCGGCGATGCGCGGAGTCGACGAGCAATTTCAGTAGTACAAAGCTGAATTAGTCAGACGTCGGCAGAAGAGGTATCGCGGGGCCGATTATTTAAACCTGACTCCAGCGGAAAATACGTTTCCCCGTTATTGCCACTTTCTACATTCAACCGAATAAGATCGACGAGTGATCTAAACTTAACGTCAAAATTAAAAAATTGCAATTTTAACGAACGAAGCAATTGTAATTAGAATCGAATTGTAATTGTAATTAGAGAATATTCAAGTAAAGTTCGTATCATTTGTTTTAGGGCTGTTGATTGTAGGACTTGCAATCTTTTGTAGTTGAGAATATGGTAAATTATAATTTCTGTAACAACAAACTCCAACATTTTCGCTGTCGAATTATTTCAAATATCGAAAAGTGTCAACTCTGCGATCTCACTTATGTTTTAACTAAAAATACTTTACACATATTTCTAACTTTAACACTTACCAATGAACCACAAATAATCGTTAACGCCAGAGGCTTTTATCCTGCAATATCAAAACTACGTTAAACAGAATCCACAAATTCATAATTTATCGCGAAATTTCCGAAGTCAGTAGTGTACTTTCGTACACGGAATATTCCATGACACATGGATGATACTTTAACGTGGAATTATATATCCGCCTGCTAATTCCCGGAAAAATATTGGAAAATTTTCGAAGCGTGAAGGCAGACAGTATTACAAAATTTGTGAACCCATCGAAAAATGAATATTTCTGCTCGATCTCACTCGAATTAATTTGTTATATTAAATAAAACCTGTTCGCTTTTCAATTGTTGAAAAATAATCTCGCAATCAACTTTTTTTTCGTAACGTTTCGTCGAGGCAATCGATTTGCATGATTTCAAATACATTGCTGTCTGTTTTGTAGTAATCCATTATCCTTCCATTATCTCACCAGTGGTTTCCATACGAAGGCAAAAGGAGTGATTTATTGTTAACGGTTGAAACTGAAATGTAATTTCCATCTCTTTGCTACGCGAAATTTTCTCTTCCATGATAACGTGACGTTTCTGTTTCGTTCTTTTTTCTTCCTGTTGTTTAATCGAATCAGATTCGATGTGCAGCTTTGATTAATTTCGTTGTATTTTGTGCAATCTGCGAGTACAACGTGGTTGCACCATTCTTTATTTTTATTTTACAAAATAGAATACAGTGTTACTTTTACAAATAAATCCTCCTAAACTTCGAAAAATATTTTGGATTTTATTGATAAATTTGTTTTTGTAGAACACTTTCAATAGTGTTTTCTATTTCGCTTGAAATTCGTCGATAAAGTTAGTTAATTCGTGTTATTTATATAGAAGACAAATTATTTTTTAACCTTTTTCAGAATAAACTTTAATAGACTTTGAGAGAATAATTGCACGAAAATTAACATAGAAATATTGCAATACTTAATCATTGGCAACATACACGAAAATTCTGTTAATTTATATTTTTTATGATTGTATCGTCATATTTCTCGCATTTTTAACGGATAATTTTCTTAATATTCAACTGGCATTTCTCAAGCTTTCCAATATAGGATCGTAATTTAAAATTGCGTCTCAAATTCATTGCAATTTTCAGCTCTTAATTAAACATTCTCAAACAGAAGCCAACATTTCTGCACTTTCTGCTTAATTAGTATTTGAATATCAAATACGATTCCTTCATTGTATTATTTCTTCATTTTTAATTTCCAATTATACCTTCGCATTTCGTGATCCTTCTCGATTCTCAAATTCCAATTGAACTTCCTCGTTTCTCTTAATTCCGAATCTTCACTTAAAATTTCCAAATTTTCAGTTAACAAATTTCTATTCTGATATCTTCTTTTTTAAAACAAACCTCATGATTCTTCGTTATCTTCTTTATTTACGAACCGGAACGCCTGTACGACGCAATAACGCGACTTCTTTTCCATTCAATAGAGGAGGGACTGTGCCAAACAGAGGTAAAAAAGAACTTCAATCCTTATTTATCTCCGCTTCCAGGCGAAAAAGATCCTATAACAAGCTGTTAAACGTACCGAACAAACGTCCTGAATAATCATCGGACCACAATAGCCGAGCCTGATGAAAGGATAATCACAACGAAGTTTCTTTTGTGCCGCTGTTCGCAAATAAAAAGGTAATTTTCCCTGAGCTACTCGAGGCTTGCTCCTCTCCTTTGTTATTTGTCAAAAGTGAATTCGCCCTTTGTGATGAATAAAACATTTTTGATTAACAGAAACGTACGTGTCATGCGGCAAATATACCTTTTGAATTAAAGATAAGCGAAGAAGATTGTTAGGTTAGATGCTTGGTTACATAGTGGAGTGAAATTCTATAATGTAATTAGTAAGAAGATCATGAAAATATTGGAAGTGATGTGTAATTTAGTTAAATAGGATATTTTTAAACGATCTTTTAATTTACCACTTTGCAGAAAGTTAATATAATACTTTTGGGGACATTTTTTCTTAAGTACCATTTCTTGTTCTAATATTATCTATTTTTCATTATTTTCATGAAAAAAAAAAAAAGGAATATTGTATTCATTATCTCAATGTATTGGAAATTTTCGTATTTTAATTTAGATATTTTTGAAATTTCTTGCAAAGTAAGGAAATTATACTTTTCGATAAGCTCGTTCATTTTAATAACCTGAATTTATATTTACGTGAAATGGTAATTCCGTACGATCGAGTTTAAGAAATGGTACTCCAAGGGGTGTTATACCAGTAGCGCGAACGAATGTCAACTCTTTTTAGCTGGTAACGCGATTAACGTGTACAGTTACTGGTAACTTTAAAGGGTAAATGGTGCAATTTCGAACTCGGCGAGATTACAAAAAGACAGAGAATGAAATGACTCCGGCGAGGATGGGGTCATTTGCGATAAAGTTAACAGAAGTTCAGGTAATTCATTCGAGTGGCTTAAACTTGGTATAATCTAACTGTAACTTTATCGTTTTATTATCTTCATTTATTTCGAGTATGCATTACACTTCTTCCTTTTTTTCTTTTGTATCTTTCGTTCGTTTTGAGAAATTGAACGAAAAGAGACGTATCACAAATTTTTCATCGTGTAAATTAATCGAAAAAGATTAGAGATAGGAGGAACAGTGTAAATTGACGAATTTTCTATTTTTCAAGGATAAATTTGGAAACTAGAAAATAATAAATAATTTTCACCAAATATATGTTTATTAACCTCATCTTTGAGAGCGATTTTTACACCTTCCATCATTTTCCATCATATTTCTGAATTTCTGTCGTAATACCAAAGTTCCATCAATATTAAAATACGAAATACACGTGGTGAAGAGTATAAACGCATCGCGGCACGAATTTCTTTGACGACCCAATATTAACATCGCGAAATTAATGTTCGAGATGGTCGTAAAGTTAATACCAGAGTTTCGTCTCTTTTTCAGCAACGACCTGTACGATCCATGTTCGCAACATACCTCACACGAACCGGATTTTGGCGTCAATAATTTACATCCGTTGGAGCCTCGGAAGCGTGTGTATTTCGAATCTCGAACGCGCTTAATAAAATATGCGGAGGTTCGTGCAGCGAAGCAACACGGTCGGTTCCTGGCTTAGCCCGCACTTCCGGAATTCCTGCCCTCTTTGCCTGTTAATCTTTCATCTGACAGCTGAGGGCAGAGCCAGTTAAACACGACCGTAATGTTGGCTAATAATTTGCATATCGGTGCACCGTGGATGGCCTTTTATCTGTTGCTATTCCGTGGAATCCGTGTTAAATTAGTATACGCAGGATTTCTTTTTATCGAAGATGGGGTACTTTGATAGAAACCATTTTGATTGTTTACGTTGGACATTGTGATTTTTCCTCGATTGATAATGGTTTGAAATATCGATTAAGACGAATATTTTGTGTAGGTATATTTTATATTTACGTCGATGAATTTATTAATTATTTATTATTGCATTTGTGGGAAGAATTTTAGTAGGAATTCTGGAGTGAATTTTTATTTCATGGAAATATTATAATTAGTATGAGTAGTTTTAATCGTTTGGATTTCCACTGTTTAATGGAAACTTCCTTTTTTATTTCATTTCTATCTTATTGGAATTTTTGATTTTTTAAAAAGTAGGTTAGCGAAATTACGAAAAGTGGAAGATTCTGAAGAAGTAACCAAGGGTTTCCTGCGGATTTTGTAATTTTTCATTTCCTAGAGTGGAGTGCAATTACGAAATGTGGAAGATTCTGAATAAATAACCAAGGTTTTCCTACGGATTTGAAGCTCGTGCAATTGCGTTTTCCGGATTCCGCCTTTCGACCATCGTATTAGCTTAAATTGTCCCCCAATAAGGCTTAGTTTCTAGCTGATCCATTTACCGATATGGGAATGTGTGCTGTTTTCGAAAGATAAATGAGTGTCCATTTAAGAAAAAGTGAATCGAGGGTGATCGTGTGATAGGAAGCTTGGAAAAGAAATTCACTGGATATTGTATAGAAAATAAAATTGGGGGAGTCATAAGTGATATATCGTTAGTTGCATCCCTTGTTTCCTTTTTCCTTTCTTATTTCCTCTTTTATGGGAGATTTGATTGAGCAACAACAGTTAATTTTATCCACGAGATGAAAAGAATGCATTACGAAAGCTGCGTTACTCGGTTGCACTCGCAAGCCTCCATTTCCGGCGTCATGGAACCGTGGGCGCCTTTGAAACAACACGGTTAATAAATGATCGGAATCGCTCTGGGCCTTGTGGGAACGTGGTTTCCTTGCTCGTTAGTGTGCAACGGAAAAGATGTGATCGCGTTTCTCTGACCGAGCTGTTCGACTCGCTCACGTGCACAGTGTTTTTTCGCTAACAAATGTTCTCCGTCGGTTTCGCCATGAATCTCAGGTATTTTCCATTCCGTCCGCGATTTGTTCGGATTGACGCGAGGAATAAAAGAATATACTTAACAATGGTAGAAAGTGCGGTTTCGTGGAAAATGTTTGTAAGGATCGAAGAGTTAGGTACTACAAAAATGAGAGAAATTGGTATTTTATTTATTAAATACCTTCAGCTTATTTGGCCTTTTCGAATTTCTACGTCGATAATTGGTATCGTTTTTTTATATATAAAATGTAACTTTAGATCGAAGAATTTTTAGTTTGAATTTTTAGGAAAGCAAGTGCAAGACACTCTGACGTTGTTAATTTTAAAAATTAACGCTAATTAGCAC